TATATATATATATGTATATATCTGTATATATATATATGTATATATCTGCATATCTATTTGTACGCATATATCTACACACATACATATATGCATATATATGTATTGTTGGCTGAAAAGTTTCCACCCTGAACAGAGAGAGATACAAGCAATTACCTTCAAAATTTGTTTGCATATGTACTGATACCAACGCACCAACATTTCAACTACTTTGGACATGCATTCGTTCAGTCAGCCGACGTAAAGGGCTTTTGGGTATTAAAAAATGGTATATATTGGGCTGCCATTAAATATTTGTTTTTGAAAGGAAATACGCTTACACAAATTAAAAACAGGTTGGGATGCTGTGTACGGGAACTCTGGTCCATCACTCATCATTATGAAATTTTGAACAACTGAATTGAAACCTGACCGCACTCGAGTGATGACGGACGTTTGGAAAAGTCAACACCTGTAACCAATGATGACAACATCGCCTAAGCTTACGCCATAGTGCTGGACGACCGTTACAAAGTCACAAGTTAGAGAGATAGAAGAAACTGTAAACATATCCAAAGAATGTGTTTATCACCTACCGACTAAAGGATTGGACATGAAAAGTGCGCACTACACATTGGGCCCTACGTGTACTCATCGCTAAAACACAAACACATTCACCAGTCGATGACTGCAATGTCAAAATTTCAGAAACGGAATTTCGATTTGTAGCTCCGCTCATCATTTTCTCTAGATCTAACCGCCAGTGGTTGTTATCCGTTAACAAATTTTAAAAGAAAAAAGGTTTAGATCCAATAGTGAAGCCATTGCGGAAACTGTTATTATATTGAAGATGTTCATAAATCATTTCGTACAAAAACTATCGGAACGCTAGAGACCCATTGAACTGAATGTATCATTGTTGAAGCTGGCGATATGACGTTGATGAATAGATTCGAATTACGAAAAAATATTTCTCTTTGTTTCTTAGGCCGGATACTTTCCAATTAACCCTCGTACAAATTTAATGCTACTTTGTTCAAAAAATAAGGTAATGTCTATGTAACGTTATTTTCTTCTAACATCTGGCAAAGGTTTCACGCCATTCGATTGATTTCGGCGTATTTTGGAAACTTATTGAACAAAGGTTTCAATTTTGTTTAAAAAGTGAATGAAATACTTCTACAGAAACTTATGGTGATGATAATTCTATCACACGCCATTCTACAACCTGTACAAAGATTTTAGACATAACGGTTTAAAAATTAATCACATCTGGAAACAACTTCAATTCATGGAAAAATGAATGAAAAAATCATCACTACCAAGGACGTTGTACTCTATTCTACTACCAGCTATACATAAAGTTTTGTACGATGTGTTTGAAGTATGATATCATAGCACATATTAATTGAGCCGGTTACATTCATAGGTCGGTTTGTCTGTGTGGTTTGTCTTCTTGTATTCTTTTTGAAGAACAACATTGTATCCAGCTCGCTGAACATTGATTGCCAATATTTTCAAATGAATAATTTTTTATGACACGAAATAGATTTATGCTTATTATCCAGAAATTCTTTAAGAATCAAACCGATATCATGCTAAAAGGAATTCGGTGCTGAAAACTCCATAACATACCAATAAAAACCAAAGTCTTATTGATTGTTATCTTCGATTATCGTGGCGTTTTCCGCGAGGACCTTCTTTCAGAGAATCATATAGCGTGTAAGAAATAAAGCGAAGGAATGTTGCCTTCAGCGCAAATCTGCTCATGCAAAATATTCGAATTTATGATAAAACAATTGCTGATTTTAATTACTTCGCCATGATTATTCATCCATCTTTCAAGAAACATCAAAATAATCTACTTCCACAAGCACTAGATCATATAACTCTGAGAAATTGTTGTTCTTTCACACGATTGCACTTCTTGAGAGATGAAGACAAAAAAGATGGTTCGCTGGCTGATTTAAAGACTTTACCAGAAAAGACGTTGCAAATTCTCAACTAGTCAGTTGCACCAATCCTGTTACAGGCACACTCACTTTTAAAATTAAAATTCCCCTTATTTTCTGAACATGCTGTTATATTACTGATAGCTAAATACATATGAAAAGCTAATGCAACTGCAAGCAAAAACACTATAATTTCTGTAAAAAAGAAACTAAATAAATAAAGCGAAAATTTAATATTTTAAAAACTGTTACATATTTTTTTTTTATGTTTACATACAAAAATTTGTAGATATATATCGTATTGGTAACCAAACAAGTTAGCATAAATGTAAATATATTGTATCTTATATTGCTGAACTTAATTCAATTTATAATGCATATCCGTAATAGGCAACTAGCCTACGTTGAAACGCATTCAATACGCAGCCATTTCATATAGAGAGGTGGCTTGAATTTTTGATCTGACCGCTGCCCAAGGCATTGAGATGGCTTTTGCCTAAGGTCAAAACACTTATGTCAAGTGTCTTATCGTAATGCCTTTGGGATCCAACTACGCCTACGCTTTGAGCGTAGGTTCCAATCCTTTTTAGACCTCAATTGCGTTTGCAGGGCAACCTAATTATATTCAAATATCAAATTAATATGATTTTAAAAGCAAGCTAAACACGTAACATATTGCCTTTATAGGGGAGAGGGCATGAAACGTGAACAGTCGGAATTGAATAAAAGTAATTTTTTTTTGCTAAAGGACCTTGTATATTTTAACTGTGGATTATAAGAGGCTTCTCTCCTCTTCCACCCCTAATCCTTTGGAACCACCACAGTGCCCACACTTGGAGTGTGCGAGGTTCGGAGAGACCGAAGGAAAATATGCTTCAATGGATACATAATCATATTCTGGCCTACCTAAAGTACTTTGGGGTATTGCGGATATCCGCACCGTTTTGCGGTACCGCAAATTATATACATGTAATAAGGAGCAGTAAGCAAATGTGTGTGTGTGTTATTTGTAGTTTGTGTAAAAATTCACATAGTGGTGCCAGGTTGTACTAAAAGGCAAAGCGAAGATTAAGATTACCCGTGTTTCTGGAGGCTTTTGTCCTCGACTATCTTCACTAAGCTATTTGCCGTGAAGTAAAAAATTCAGTAAAATAACTAGCCCTTCAATTACCATCAGAAAACCAAAAAATTAAGTCGTTACTGCTGATTATCATTTAAGTTAGCAGAGACGCGATACTCATGTGGAGATTCCTTACTTTTCAACAAAGTCGAGAACGTTAAACTACGAGCCTTTACCCCAGTTATAAAAACATATTTTCAAATATGTACGGTGTGCGCGATGCAATTTATTGAGTGAATGGATTTTCATTTACTTTTTTAATCAAATATCGTGCATTAGCTTATGATGATCCGAGCTAGTACAGAATTCTTTCTTATTACTTTTAAATGTATCGACGATCAAATGAGCCACAAAATTTTAATGTTTCTTTACCATATTTTACTGCCGCTTTTACTGTCTTTACTTAACATCTTCTACATATGTATGTAGTAACTAAATCTCTTACGTCTATTATTGTCTGAATCTGGTTTTCCCCAGGGTAGACATCTGAGTCCAGTCCTCTTCTTTATATAAATAAACCATCTTCCATGAGTGGTTAAGCATTCTTGCATTCTCATGTATACTGATGACGTGAAACTATTCCATGACGTAAAGCTCTAAAGCAAACTCTAAGAATGGCTTCTGGGGGATAGACTTCAATCTGACCTGTTGTTTCCGGGGAATTGCTACGGAATTTATTTCCTTGGACGTTAGAATCTGCAAGGCGATTTCGCTGTGTATTACTATATTAATGGTTTCAACCTGAAGCCTCTAAAATCTTTTTGTGATCCGTGGCTCACTCTCAACGATGATTTAGCATTCAATCTTCAAGTGCAATCGGTAAGGTACTCCTAACTTTTTACTTATATTATATTATATTGGTTGTTGGCGAAAATTTTGATCACTATTTCACTTGAAAAAGGCATGCATTCTGGAAAATCTGTGCAATATATATTAATCAAAATAGTTGCCATCATTTTCTATAACAGTTTACAATATTTTTGGTACATGGCGATATCATGTCGAAAGAAATTATATTGGATTGACAGCGATCCGCTCACCGAACCATTTTGAACTTCTTCAACTTTGCGGATCCGCGTGTCAGCCAAGTCACATTGCACCATGTAGGGTTTCTCTCGAAAAAATTGCTTTAATTGAATGTGTAGCCGATAAATACAAATAGTGCCAAACATTTTTATATTAAGTCCTAAGTGCTTCTACAGATTTTGAAAAATCTTTGCTACTCGTTTTTCATTTCATACGCAATATTCAGAGCTGCAGCTGTGCGGCCAAAGAGGTCTTCTAAAAAGCAGTTTTTTTGCGAGAGTTGCTGTTACGTCATTTTGTTTGCTTAATAAATATTAAAATAAATATGAAACTCTTGAAACGATCAAAAAATGCATCCAAATCTTTGTCACATCCAATCAATGTTCCAACTGGCCATCCGTAAGGAAACAAGTAAATGCCTGCAAGCAGAAAAGCTCGAAGTTTCACGGAAAGTATCCCCTTTTTATAATGAAATATTATAGGAGTTAATAGAAAGGATCTGTCAAGCCAATAAAAAAAAATTGAATTTCTGAAAAATTTGCAATAACTTTCGTGCTTAAATGAGTTAAGCACGCTTGAAGTTCGAAGAAAACTAATTTAGACGCGGAGCATATTACTGACGCGACATTCACTACTATTCATTATCGTCAAGTGATCTTCTAAACAGGAATATGCGTACTCAATTTGAATAATAAAATTGAGTACACCACCTTGTGATTTTAAAAACCGAAAAACAGATTTACATATAACATAATGTTTGTACGTAATCCGACGCCCTGAAAATTTAAATTTCTCCATTAATTTTTGGAAAAACTTCCGATATATTGTGCCCCTCGTGTATATGAGGGGAAAAGCACGATTTATCCTATAATGTTAAACAATTTGCGATAAGTGGAAGTGCCAACCGTTGCCTGAAATAGCACTTTTTTTCTTTTTGCATGTTTAGAAAGAAGACTTTGTTCACATTTATAATAATATTGTATGAGAAAAAAGTGTTCGAAATTGTTATGAAAATTTTGATGTAAAACAAAATTCAATTGGCTAACAAAATTATATACAAAAAGTAAAAAGAAGAAGAGAGCAATGTGCTGGTGCATAAAGGGAAGAAGAAGGAAAACAAAGACGAAACTATCAAACGTATTAAAATGTTAAGCGTTATATTTATTTATTTTTGCTTTTCTTATTTTCCTTCATTGCACTAACATGGCGCAATGTCGTCTTAGATTGATTACAGAGATGATATCGAAGATCCGGTCTATCTACATAAAGGTTTGCAACGCTTAATTCCTGGAACTAGCATAAAAGTACTTGGTTATACGAAAACTAATGGTGAAGCGTAAGTAAACATAATAAATCATTTTATAAAAGCATTAAATATATTTTAATTTCTTTTTTTACTTTTTAAGATTTTCTATAAACCTTATTATTGAGAATGAGTCAAGAGATATTGCTTTGCATGTCAGGCCACAATTGCCTCAGCATTATATTATACGAAACTCGAAATTTCAAGGGGTTTGGGGTAAACCGGAGACAGCTTCCGCTCTGCCATTTAATCTGAAACGTGCCAGTTATTTTTTCATTCAAATTCTTGTTACTGAACGTCGCTTTTTGATCGGTGTGAATGGAATCCATTTTTGCAAATTTTATCATCGTGCAGTCTATCGCGACATTGAAACTATAGAAGTGAAAGGCGATCTTGAAGATATTAGCGTAGAACGCACGAAAGTAGCTTACTATCCGGCACGTTTACCTCAAACAAGGCCAATCAATATACGCGTCGAAGGTTCTTTAAACTCAGACAATACACTCACCTCTACAGATGTTGATATGGATGAGATAATTAATATACCGAAAGAATGGCTTAAAATCTCGTTACCAACGCGAACAATATCTGCACCACTACCGCGTCGAGCCGTAACTGCATTCAAATTACCATTTGTTGGCTCAATTCCGAAAGGAAGTTTTATTAATGGTCGCATTCTTAAAATCGAAGGACAAATGAAGCTCCTACCTCAATCTTTTCTTATTAATATACAAAAAGGTTGCAGTGTTTGGCCACATCCAAAGATAGCTTTGCACTTGAGAGCAGACTTTTCTTTACAAAATGCCGGAGTTGTTGGTCGAGCAACGTTACTGCGCAGTGCCTACGTGGACGGGCAATGGATCGTAGGAAAACGTTCTTATATTAACACTGATTTACATCCTGGCAAAGCCTTCTCTGTGTGCATACTTAGTGCAAAGAAATCATTTCAAATTTACATAAATCATAGCTTAATTAGTGAATTGCTTTTTCACTGTGATCCGCGCATAATTGACACCATCTATATACAAGGTGACGTTAAACTATGGGATGTTGCGCTTATTGAGGAGACCCTCTTTCAGTCCATAAATATGAAAACGTTATCACAAATGACGGTATTAACGGTAAATCGGACAGCATCACTTAAATCTTCTTAAGAAAAACGTTGCTTAAAAAAACAAAAAATAAACTAAATCTTTTTTTTCACTCGGCCTTAGTGGATGTCGTTCTCAATAAGCGAAAAATTTTATTTGTGCGTACAATTCTTTTACTCCGATTAAAGCTAAGCCTTAAAAATGCTGTATCAATCCAATAATATACTTTAATACAATGTGCTCGACAGTTTATTAACCGTATTAAACTCATGTATCATCGATATACGAAAGGATCCACTCGATAAACCCGTTAGAGCCAACTTTTTTAAACGTGTTACTTGAAAGTTTTTTAAAAAGCAATTTTTCCAACGTTATCTCAAACCTCCCGGGAATAAAGACGGAACAAATTTTTCTAATTCTTGTATCTCTTTTACGAACGTTTGTTTCACTTGGAAAATCGGTGAACTCAACTTCCCGAATTGTTTAAGACTGTTCTATTTTGGTCGACAATAAACTTTAAAATAAATAAATTTTAACGCTTGAAATAGCAGATGTGATCTTGCTTGATTCTTCCACTGACTATAAAGATTTTATAAATCTGACGGTAGACCAGCGAATTACCGTACTCAAGTAACTTTTGAAGAGAGAGTGACAAGAACTAGAAGAGGAAAACTTAATTCACATATCTAGAAAAAGCTTCGAGACCGTAATCGTTATTCCAATAGAAAGATGGAAAGACAGCCAGGCAGACATAGTTAAATCGAACTAGATTTCTAGGAGAGAACAAAAAAGTCTCGCACCACTTGAATTTAAATATTTATTAAATTAAATTTGGATTGCAAAGATAGTTTAAATCAAGGTACACACTGTTAGCTTTTGAAAAACACATAATGCTTACACTTGACGTTCACAATCAGAAGTCACAGGTTTGGCTGGTAAGTCAGCTGCTTCATTTGCCAAGAAACCAAGTGTTTCGACACAGCCAAAAAATGTTCATCTTGTCTACATAGGTGGTATTCGACGTGGATTTTAAGGTTCCCGATAGCTCTTACGATCAATGGATTTCAATGAATGGATTACACGGAAGATTAGCTCAACAAAGTTTTGGCTCAACAACATGATGCTTTCGCGTAGAATATGATTCAGAAGATGTCATTAGTTCTTTGAAACGTGATTTATTCTCTTTTTCTAGATGCGGAGAGCGGCATATCACAAGAGATGAATTTTAAAACACCCGATGCATTGAGCTCTAAATATCGCGAAATAGGCGAATGTTTACTTTTTTTTTTTTATAATTCATATACAGCACTCCATGGCGGATAATGGTTTTTTAGTCTTCTTTTTTTTTTTTTTGTAAAAATGGTTTCCTTAAGGTAGACTCTGTTTCCTAAACCTGGAAACCGGTTTTAGCACTGATGTTGTTCTTCATAGCTCTATTGAAACGGTCACCCTTACACTGTTTAAAGTGAGAATTTGGAGAATAATACAAAAATCGAATGACACTTGGATTACTCTAAGAAAAAAATTAAATTCAAAAAGTACCATATGCTCGGAATAGAGATAGCACAGAGTTGTTTTTAATAAATGTGAAATTTATAATTTCAATGTGAAATGATTGAAAAAGAACAAAATACATCGACTTTTCTATGAAAATGAAAAAAATACACAAACTTTTCGATGAAAATGAACAAAAAGTACGCAAACGTTTCTATGAAAATGAATAAAATCCGTACCTGTGCGTTTGTTCATGATTGTCGTTCGGAAAGCATTTGCGTTGATTTTCATAACTTGATGATAAAACAAGAATATTCCTATCTATGGTCTTAGAAATTGACTTCCTTAGGTTGTTTTGCTTAAAATAAGTTTTTTGCAACAGTGTTCTTTCAAAGTTTTCTTCAGAAAAGAAAATTTAAAAATTTACGCTTTTGCTTAATACAGTTATTCACGTATTTTTAAAATATAAGCCTTGTTGCTTCATATAAGTTTAATTCTTATAAGAATCCTTATCTGCACCTCAAATTTGACAAGGTAAATTTTCATTTCAATTGACTATTTTTGTACAAATTAGTCATCCTAAGACATTAAATATTTGACTTTATCACTATTTGGAGGCCCAACCTTTGTCAAAACGTTTATATGAAAAAACTTATTATTATTATTATTAGACTAATGAATTAAATTCTTAGACTAAAAAAAAGACATTGAGCACTAGCAACACAGGCTATCGGCTCTAATTTAAATAAATGGATATTAGATAATAAGCTTAGTAGTATTAATAAAGTAAAATATTGAATTGATATTCTGTTCTGAAGCTGATTGTAGAATGTTCAAAGGGTTAATCGTACCAAATGCAATACTTCTAGCCAAGGAAAAGTTGGGGCAGTCGCAGAGAATGTGCTTTATAGTAAGAGTTTGTCCACAACAGCAGATTGGGGGAGAAGACTTCTTCAGGATCCATTGGTGAGTTGCAATTGTATGACCAAGGCGAGTTCTCGAAAATGTTTGTATCTAGGTTTTCTCAACATTTGTTGGATATAGAGGTGGAGTTAATTGAGGGTTAATGCAAGAGTAGTGTTGATAATGGTATTGTAAATTTCCTTCTGCAATTTTCTCTTTAACTTTTCTTCCAATGTATCTTTGAAGATCCAACTTTTCCATGACATCATCCATAATTAGAGGAGCAGAAGCAGCACACTTTGCCGCTCGATCAATCTGCTCATTTCCCAGTAAACCGATGTGACTTGGTACCCATAACACTTTAATTTTTCCGTCGGGTGTAGTAATTATATTCCTTAATTTGTTGATGGTGCTCCATCTCGAAGTCGAAGGGTTCCGGGTAGCTTGTAGTACAGACAAACTGTCAATAACAATGACGGTTTTGAGTTTGTTTTTATGGGCAAGGTTGGCAGCGTGAAGGATAGCTCTGGCTTCGGTTATGAAAGTTGAAGTGCTTTCATGAAATATGTGGTTGAGAAGAACCCGTCCTGTAGCATCTACCACCGCACAAACAGGAGGCAGACCAGGAGATTTTGAGGCGTCTGTGTACAAAAGATTCCAACCAGTATTGTCCAATAATTGGGTTTTCTCAGCTATTAGATTCCTGAAGACGGAAGATTTGGAGTATCTTCTTTCCTGTGCATAGACAGTGAGATGTCAAAAGAGCAGTCTTTCAAAATCCAGGGAGGTTTAACACCAAAAAAGCGGGAAATTTTTAAGGGAATGTTCAATTCCTTTGCGATGCACAAACAATGGTCAATTGCAGATGGTGACTTTGGAAATTTCTCTCCCAATAATAACCCTTCTTACGTCATCACCGAGAATGGATTTGTTTGAATTAAGAAGCTTAGAGACTATTTTAGCTTTTAACTCATACAGTCTATTTTCTAAAGTTGGGAGACCAGTTTCAATTATAATATTATTTATGGGCGTCGTCCGAAAAGCGTAACAACTTGCTCTAACGGCTTGGTGATAGACCGGTTTAAGGTTATGTTGATATTAGATTTGCAGCTATTGCCATAAATTATCAAAGCATAGTCAATCTTGCTTAACACAAGCATTTTGGTAAGATAAGCGATAGTGTTAATATGCGCATGGCTTCTCCAAGCAACGTACTGTATGAAATTTACCCTTGTTAAAAGGGAGTTTTTTAACCGAAGGCAGTGTGCTTTCCAACGATAATTGTTTGAAAACGTGAGCCCGAGAACATGGAGCGTCTGCACATTTAGTACTGGTAAGTCGTTAATATGCATCAGTAGGTTTCCTGCATCGCACATTTGTTTTCGACAAATGTGCATTTTTTTTGATTTTTGTATAGAGATTATAGCTCCTGACGAGTTTGCCCATGTGGAGATCTCACATGCAATAGATTCGAGGATGTTGATTGCTTTCGTGTTGTCGTTTTCTTTTGTAAAAATGTATACATCGTCCGCGTAGAGACAATGTTCCACTCTTGGTACACGGCAAAGAATTTTGCTAATTTCGTTGAAAGCGATCTGGAAAAGCGTGACAGAGAGACGTGATCCTTGCGGAATGCCATTCATTATCGGAAAGGAATCAGAAAGATGATTGTTGATTCTAACTTTGAACCGCCGATGCGACATGAATGATTTGATGTAGTTGAAGAATTTGGGTCCAACATTCCATGATTTCAAGAATCTTAAGATAACATGACCAACAAGACCAACTCTGTCAAATGCTTTTTCGAAATCAATTGAGAGAATTGTTACGTGATCTCGTTCGGAAATTGCTTTGCTTGTGAAATAATCAATATGTAACAGAGCGTCGATGCATCCTCTACCCCGCTTGAAACCAACTTATTGCTTTGTTATCAGGTTCTTGGATTCAAGAAACCAAGATAATCTAGATGCCATAATCTTCTCTAAAACCTTAGAGAGGCAAGATAAAAGAGAAATTGGGCGATAATCAGATGCGATGGAGACATTTTTTGACTTTGGAATTGGAACAACTGTTGCCAGTTTCCACATGTAGGGTATATGGCCAGTCATAAATACCGTATTATATAGGTCCAGTAATTTCTTTTTACTAGACTTAGACATAGCACTGATCATTTGGTATGAGATGCGGTCTAGACGAGGTGTCTTCCCCTTCAAATTGGAGAGACAACTTCCAAGTACTGAGGTAGATACGCAATTTTCCAGGAACATGGCACATCTATCGATATTATTTGAAGGAGATATTGGAGTCCTTTTGTTTTCAATGAAAGCACTGGAGAAGTTGCTGAAAAAACTTACACGAAATGACTGCATTAAAATGTTTTTTCTTGTGTGTAGTAACTTTTTCGAAATGGGGCTTTGTATAAATAGCAGTCAAAAAAATAAGCCGACGGATTCCATATGCAAGAGAGTTCGATATTAGATCGGAATAACATTAGATTAACGGATAGAGGACGTTCCACCATCCGCAAGCTTAAATCCGCTCAGCGAGTATACTGAACGGTTTGTGTAATAAGCGTTGAATCTATCTCAGATGGATAGTTAAAGGACGCGCAGAGCGACAAACAAACTTAATCGATTCACGAACTCAAACAATCAGCGTAATAAAAATGTAATCTATGACAAGCCGCTATAGGCTGTGTATACATCCGCACAAATTTAATATACCCTATATTACAAGTAGCGTACAGTGTAAAAACAGCAAATATGTTCTATGTAACAAAATATAATTCCTTTCTTGCTTCATTTAAGTTAAAAGAGCTGATAATTACACAAAGCGTACCCATTGAAAAAATTTAATGAAACTGAACAGTACTGAAGGTGTTTAAATCTTTTCTAACAGGCAGGACGACCAGCCTACCAGTTATTGTTCCGCTAATATTGTTATGCAGAGAATTTCCAGGCAATGTCGACTATACAATTGTTCGTGCAATTACGTGCTAGTTTGCTGAAATGCAAGTGATTCTCAAGGTTATTTAAAACTCTTACCAAATATTACGCTGATTATGACCACGACTGAGAATTACCTGACTGAGCGTGTCTCTTTAGCAATGCGTGGATGTATGCCTGCGTACGTTTTGTAGTAAGGAGGGATGCAATATGTCGGAAAATACCAAAATACGTAGAAACGTAGACACGACTGTAATGTGAACCCTGTTGATGCTATAAGAGTATCAAGCAATCTAGAAAATATTGAGCGTTTTTATATCAATTCTATCATATATTGAATCTATTTGCGAGTGTAAATTGATTAATGGCGAAATCGATGTATGAATTCCCAGAAATCAATATTTTTCAAATTATTTACATTGAATCATGCATGCAGGCATGCATAGAATGGCAAACTTAACTGTTTACCACAACAAATAACTTTGTAAACTTTGTTTTATTTTATTTGCTTCCCTTTTTGACCTAAACCTATATGCTTAAACATATGTGTTTGTGCGCTTGTATATATGTGTCTGTACTTACATATATATTTTATACTCTTAAATGATATTAATGCTATGGTCGTTACCGTGCGTTGGAATTTAAATGAAAATTCTTAATTACAATTTAAATTGTTGCCATCGTGTTAATAAATTGCGTTCGTTTTTTTTCCGATTTTTTCTTTTTTTAATTTATTTATTTATTCTTTTTTTTTTTTTAATTGTTTATTATTATTCAGC